CGCGCTGTCAGCGACTGTCCTGCTCGCGCCGCCTCGCGCTCTCCCTCAATCACTGGCACCGAAGGCTCCGTTAAGCGGCGGCGGTGGTTCCTGTTTCCGTTTCTTCCTCTCCCTCGAGTCGCGAGTAGCATCCTCCACCCAGCCACCCCTCCCACTCTCCCAACGCAGGGCAGCTGCGGCTGAGGGCTGTGGCGGCGGCGACTGGGGAACAGCGGAGACCGCCTCTGCTCCCGCCTCGGGTAAGGGGGCGTTTGGGGGCCGGGCCCCGCGCGCTTCGGGGTCTGGGGCTGGGCAAGCGCGGGATCCGATGAGGCTCCGGGGATCTGACTGGAGGCTGTCGCTGCTCTTTTTCTCAAGGCGATCCCCGGGCCTGTTGCTGCAACTGCTGCTGCTTATCCGAGGGCTCCGGGAAAAGTGGGGAGGGAGCCCCCGGGACGCTCTGGCGGTGCCTTTGCGGGGCCAGGAGGGCGCCGGCGGGGGGTGAGGGGCGCCCGCCGCCCGGGCCAGGACGCTGAGCGGTGCCGGCGCTGCCCTCGGTATCGCTCCTCCTTGCATAGGGCAAGGGCCGAAGCCGAGGAGAGGAGAGATGGGGGCGGGGTAGGAGGTGTCCCTCTCCTCTCCTCCACACCTACCTGCCCTTTCTCCAGCAGCTCTGTCCCTGAAGTCAGACTGTGGGGAGGAGGATGCCTGTGCGTTATGGGCTTTCGAGAGGGGTTCTTGGGCTAGAAATCTGGGAGTGGACCCATACAAAGATCCACTCCCAGCGAGGAGCTAATGCCTTAACGGATGCGTTCCCCATTTAATGTGGAAATGATGAGCTGGTGGCTTTTGAGTATCTAAACTTACTTGGAAAGGTTAAATGAGTCTTTATTAGTTTAAGGGTTTGTCCTGCAAGAGTGAGTGGATTGTAAATCGCAGCACCTGTTCTCTCACCGTGGGGATTGCAATCTTTAGCCACACGGAACGTCAGAGACGCAGTGTTATTTCTTAAGTTCAATGACAATGTCGTGGTTAGTTTATCCATGGTGAGCTTTTAGCGTTTTGCCATATATCAGCATTTATTTATTTATTTATTTATTTATTTATTTATTTATTTATTTATTTATTTATTTATTATAGTTGTGGAAATGGAGTATATTTTCTTTAAGAAATTAAAAACAGAAGAAAAATGCCATTTAACATCATTGGTATGTCCGTATAGGTCAGCAGGAAAAAACACTGTGATAAGCTTGTCTCTTTGATACCAAGAAGAGAATTCTAGTCTGAGCTTTAATATGCTTCCTGTGTTTTCTGTTGCTTTTCATCTTTTTCCATATTTTCATATCAGAGGAATGGTACAGCCTTTAAAACTTTATTAACAGGAACAAATCCAGTATCCACAGAGTTCTTCTCAGAAGACACTCTAACCCATCAGATAGCCAGGCAGTTTCATTCTCATGAATGCTCTAGCCATGAAAAAAGCTCAGTAGGACACAGACGAATCCAATGAATAGAAGAAGAAATCAATTGAGTTTTGGAATGCTTGGTGCATTGGGTCAGTCTAGGTTTATGAAACCTAAACCTCCCATTGTAAACAGGAAGCTGGATGTGAGTCTTTCCATAATATATTGTTCATTTACTCTATAGGCCTAGAAAGCTACTGGTATCGGATACCCATGTCCATCAGTCATAGAGCCAACACTTGGAGGTTCAACAATAACATAATAAATTATTCCTCTGGTGATGAGGAAATAAAACACTATGACTAGTGGATGTCCTGTCATGACTGAGGGCTTGTGCACCCAGGGTGGCTTCTTCAGCTTCAGGTTGAGTCATTTCAGCACTAAGTGTGGGTCTCCGTACAAAGTCTCCATGTTGATGGTGGCAAGAGCAGCTCTCTGTCTCTATACTAGCTTTTTGATTGAGGCCTTGGATAAAGGCTGGAAGAGGTGCCATGTCTTAAACTTATCACAAGTAACTGACTGAACTTTGGCTTGGCTCTCTTTAGAGAGGCAAGGTTTCATTATACTAGTTTTCCCCCTTGTTCTGGGGTTAAGTGCATATTTATTTTCTTGATTAAATTTTGTTTTTATGCGTAATTCTTTTAAAGGGTGCATCATATAGAAATCATTTTAGGAGAGAAATTATTTAAGCACCACAGAGCTCACTGAAATAATGGAGTAAGTTGTATTCTCCTTTAAGTTAAAAACAACCTGCTGGGCTAGGTGTGGCTCGGCCGTTGAGCATCAACCTAGGATCCAGGATATTGTGGTTCGATTCCTGGTCAGGGCACATGCCCAGGTGTGGGCTCCATCCCCAGTTGGGGGCATGCAGGAGGCAGCTGATCAGTGACTACTGTCACATCATTGATGTTTCAACTCTCTCCCTCTCCCTTCTTCTCTCTGAATCAATAAAGATATATTTAAAAAACAACAAAAAAAACCCCTAAAATGTTATGCCAAAATATTAACTCCCGGTATGTTTTTAGCCTTGTGAAATATACTATAAAATGTGTGTAGAAAGTCTTGATTACTTGATTTATAAATATAATAGTAAGAATAAGGTGGGAATTCAAACATTTGAAATTGTGATTTTACACTTTAGTAAAGTGTAAAAATGTAGGGAGTTAGAAATGAGTAGGTTAGAAGGAAAATAGAAGGGTAGTTTGGAGGCATGGATTTTCCTTTTGCCATGTTATAAATTGAGAATTCTACTTGAATTGAAAAGCTGAACAGCTGGAATGAAACTTGCATAGACTACAGAAACATGTAAAAATGTATCTTTGATCAAGTAGTGAGCTAACATGAAGAATATCTTGTGGTTTATTAGGATAGTAGTTCAAAATAATATCCATAAAATATACCACTACATAGATTTATTTTAGGATGTTCTTAAATTTTAAGTCACTTGAAGTTGTTTTTCTATAAGTTAGCTCTGTTTGAGATGTAATAGTATTGAAAAAACTAACTCTGGTTATATTCTAAAATGCTTGGTTACAAATTTTAGCTAGTTATTTTAAGGAATTGGAATGTCTTTAAAAGTGGTAAATTTTGAAATTTGCTAGTGCTTTGGAAAAACTTGTGTTCCTTGTTTAAGTGCAGTTTATTAGCAGGTCGGTCTGGAGGGGGAGCTAGTGCCAAAGCAAAGAATAGCTTAATATGTTTGAACTTTTAAAACACCCTAAACCAGATTTTTATGACCAGAGGAAACATACATTTTTATTTTTATTCATTTATTTTTTGTTAATTTACTTTCTGGTATTTATTTTTTGTTAATCCTCACTTGAGGCTATTTTTCCCATTGATTTTTAGAGAGAAGGAAGGGAGAGACAGAGAGAAGCATTGATGTGAGATAGACCCATCAATTGGTTGCCTCCTCCACTTGTGGGGATCGGAGCTGCAACCCAGATACCAGTCCTTGACAGGGAATCAAACTGCAACCCTTTGGTGATAAGGCTGATGCTTTAACCAGTGAGCCACACAGGCCAGGATGAAACATACATTTTTAATGAAAAGAGTAAGGGAATTGATATGGGCATATATCTGTGTACAGTTGTTTGTGGAGTATATATATTGTGTATTACAAATTAGTTAAAATATCTTTTCATTATCTGAAATAATGGAAAGTACATGTTTAAGGTTTATTGAATTTCTCATTTAAAATTTCTGAAAATATGTCCCCAAACTTAAGGTGTGTGGTAGTACTTTCTTAATCTTCTTGTGCAGTGCATTAGAAGGGAAGGAGTATATCTTGACCTTTTGTGCAGATGGCATGTTCTTAAAATTTTTTTTATTGTAGCATCTACAGTCTTAAATATCAAAAAAACTTCAAGCAGTCTTTTAAAAAATTTAAAAAAATTTTTATTTTTATTGTTGAAAGTATTACAGATGTCCCCCATTTTCTCCTTTTTACCCCCTCCCCCCATCTCCCATCCCTCTCCAATTTCAAGTAGAGTCTTATATGGGCAAAGATATCAGTTGTGTAGTAATATAGGTATTTATCAAATGTAGAGGTACTTTTGCCTGGATGGCGTGGCTCAGTGGTTGAGCGTCAACCTATGGTCCAGGAGATCTTGGTTGGATTCCTGGTTAGGGCACATGCCTGGGGGCTCGATCCCTAGCAGGGGGCGTACAGGAGGCAGCCGATCAATGACTCCCTCTCATCATTGATGTTTCTATCTCTCTCTCCCTCTCCCTTCCTCTCTATAAAATCAATAATTTATCTATATATTTTTAAAGAAGTAGAGGTACTTTCAATAAAGAAATAGACTCTTGAGACATCTGTGGAGCAAGGATTCCAAGGTCACTTCTTAACCTCTGTCTCCTGCGATATAGTGCAGTGAGTCCAGCTGATCTACTAAATTGAGCTTGTGCCTTTGAATATGAAGCAGTTATTTCTTGGTCTGTGGTACATTATTTAGATATCTAAACTGTAATCAGTTAGGTGTGTGAATTCTCACTGTTTACATTCTTCAAATTCAAGGTAGAAATTGATAATGTGTACATTAAAATCATTAGAATATTTAGTTTCTGAGTATAGTGGTTGGGCTATGTGTTCTCCATTGCTCTTCATTATGTAAATAGAATCTCAATGTTGATAAAATAAAAAAATAGATTATTTGAAAGGAATGATATCTGTAAGAATAGTGAAGTAAGTGTTTACTATACTTAAAGGGTTAATGCTATAAATAAAAGGNTAAAAAAATAGATTATTTGAAAGGAATGATATCTGTAAGAATAGTGAAGTGTTTACTATACTTAAAGGGTTAATGCTATAAATAAAAGTTCTATAAGACATCCTGGAATATTCTTATGTACCTTTTACTATTTTTTATTTTTTTGGTGCTGAATTCCAGGAACAAACCATTACCATTTTTTTGTTGTTTTGTTTTGTCAATCCTCACCAGAGGATATTTTTTCTATTGATTTTATAGAGAGAGTGGAAGGGAAGGTGAGAGACAGAGAAACATCAATCTGAGAGACATATTGATTGGTTTCCTCCTGCATGCTCCCCCTACTGGGGCCTGGATGGAGCCTGCAACCCGACGTACTTGCCCTTGACAGGATGATTCTCTAACCACTGAACCAAACTGGATAGGGCATAACATTTTTAATTGTTATTTTTAATTTACTAAAAACTACATTTAGTAAATCTGTGGTTTAATTAAATGGTAAATCATATTATAGCACTTTTGTAAAAGTAAGAGTCTCCATTTATGATGAGTAAATATAAACATGTAAATAAATTAATTTTCTTAAAA